GTGGGGGTCGCTCTGCGCGCGGCGCGAGGCTGGCGCTGGCCTCCGGCAGCTCTGCCCCTGGCTCTGTCCCCGCGCTCCGGGTTGAAGACTTTCCTCGTCAAAAACAGCTACACATGTGCATGGTTCGTATCGAGTAAGTTATATTCAGTTGCCTTATGATTCATTTTTTTCAGGCAGAAAATCTATTTCATGAACTTCAAGAACATTTTTCAAGTTCTGACGGCAACATTACACCTCAGAAATACCCTTTCCCACCTTATAGCAAATACTGATACTTTGACCTGTTAAATTATCGTGGAATATTTTTAAGGGGATAATTGTTGATCTAGGATTTCCTGGTGTTTACATGCGGCCTCGCCTGACACTGGCATCCTGACGCAATTACCAGTCACAGGTCACTTCTTCCTGCCTGACCGGTAGAACGGGGCATTTTGTGTGGCAAATAAAACAACGTGGACTTACTGCACAGGCCTCCCCGGCAGGGCTTTGCCACCAAGCCCTAGGTGGCTGGGTACCGAGTCCGCTGCCCGCTCAGAAACCCGCAGCGGAGCAGGGCCTCCCGCGCAGGGTGCCACGCCTGGCTCCCTACCTGTTCGGTTTTGTTTTATAACTTGAGCAGCTCACTCATGTTTTGTTAAGACATGAATTCAAACACAATTAGGGTAGAATGTTTGTTTCCAGTTTGAGCAAATCCAGACAAGGGTAACAGCTGTCACTTCACACAGTTAAATCCATTCCCTGAAAACTGCGAGCAGCGTCTGCGTATGGAGCTTGCAATTCTGATTTGTGGATGGGTTCCAGGAGGGGGGGGGAAAGATTCTTAGACACGATAAAGTTAAACTGCATTAATTTCCATTATATTTACATTCTCATTAGTTTAAGACGTGGTTAAACATACCAGAGTACCTCACATCCCAAATCTGTCCACGCCAGGGGACCCAAGATTTCAGAGCTGAGCTCACAGTTCAGAGGTTAGAGACTCCCTACAAATGCCTCAGGGAGATGTCTGCACTGACCTTCAGGTGTCCTACAATTGCCCAGCCAGGGTATGTGTCAGACCCAGGTGAGGCTGCAGGTTAAAGCAGGGCTTTCCTGCCAGGGGCTCTGGGATCCTTAACAAGGAACTGGAAGAAACGGGAAACCGCCTCCAGGACTTGCAGCGGAATGTGAGTGGCTCAATGGTGCAAGCCAGGATCAGAGGCGCTGCGAGAGAACACATGGTGAGGCCACCACTAGGAAACTAAGTTCACCTGTGCAGAGTTTGTTCCTGCTCCCATCCCGGGAAATACGGTCCCCTATTTGCTCACCGTGGGGACTGCACCTCTGTACTACCTGAGAAACCTTCAGGAAGTACACACCTTTCACAAATGCTCCTTTCTAAATAGACCAACTGAGACAGTCACAATTCCTTTAAAAGTGCACATTTTAAATGAAAAACTTTATTATTTAAAATTTGGATTTTAAAGCTTAAAAAAATTGGATTTTACTCAAGAACTTTTTACTCCCACCCCTCAAATTAATTTTTAGTCAAAATACAAATCACAATGATTTAGACATTGGGCACTATAATGAGCAGTTTCTGTTTGAGACAATATATTCATGGAATTATTTAAAGAAGAAATGTTGCATTAAGCTCTCAACCTACTTCCAGAGTCTGGAGGCCCCAGCTGGTACCACTATGCAAACATTTCTTTCCCAGTGTAATTCTGCACTGAGTCTTCAGATGCAAATAAATGCTGAGCTTCGGGTCTCAGACTGAATTTACATCCACATGACGTATGTGGAGATGCACAACTTTGTTAAGACACGTATGCATGTTTTACTGACATGCTATTTTGATTATGGGCATATTTTAATAATTAGATGCCTTTGTTTCCTTGCTTTCCCATTTCTTTGACAATGTTCATATTTATCTTGCTAAAGCAGAGCTAGTTCACTATCTGACTTACAAGTGTCTACATCTGGTTTTTGGGTAGAAGAGATAGCTGTGCCGTGTCCTGCCATGCACGAGCACTCTGAAACTGCCTGTAGGGTTAAAACACCTTTCCCTACTGAGGTTGCATCAGACAGGGCCTCCTGCCCAGCAGTCCTGTCTCGGCCTACTGGACGCTGAGCCCTCCACCTCTGAAGGCTGACTGGTGATAAGCCAGTGCCCAGGGGCGGGGCCCAATGGGCCGGTTTCTGCAGGATCCTGAGCTGGCACACAGCCAGGCAGAGAGCCCTGTGGTAACTTAGTTCCTCCTTTTCATCGCCTGCCCTCCAGCAGCGTTTTAAATTTGGTCAAAGCCCACTAAATATTAGGCGTCAAATTAAATGTTTAAGTATCAAGACTTCACTTTAAAAAAATTTTTTTTTAAATTGATGTTGAGGGAGAGAGAAACATTATCAGTTACCTTCCAAACGTGCCCTGCCCAGAGATTGAACCCATAGCCTGGGTATGTGCCCTGCCCTGGCATCAACCCACCGCCTTTCAGCGTGTGGCATGATGTCCAACTGGGCCACACCAGCCAGGGCAAGACTGCACTTCTTGATGCACACGAGAGAAGGTCAGGTATCTAAGCTTGTTCAAAGCTGCTGATGTCTTTTACATTGAAAGAGAGGCCTAAATAAATTCAAAACTGCCTGGTTAAATGTGTTGTGTGGGTGGCATTAGGTCAGGGCTTGTGCCCACGTTTCAGGGTAATCTGCAAACCCCTAAACTTGTGTTCCCGTTGGGAGGAGTGACTGGAGGAGAGTCCATGACCCACAGTGTTAAAACTACTGTTCTACCTTCTGAAAGATCTCTTTGTCTGTTCCCGCTTTGAATGTAACCCTTTCCCGTGTTCACTTCGACACAGACAGGAGGGAGCTCCCTGGACACCTGTGGCCCCGGTGATGGAATCTCAGCCCCGAGCGATGGGAAACACCTTGTTTACTCACCTTGATGGTGAGTCCACGTTGGCTCCATTCAACTGAAACAAGGTACTTAACATTCCATTTTTCTATGTAATGAATTTTTCCTATACAAATGTTCTAGTAATTACGGGAATTAAGGTACACTCGCTGAAAGCTTGGGTTCGGCTTATTTAACTGCGCATTAATTCATATGTAAGTAAATCTTTACCTCTTTCTTTTTTCTTACATCTGCACTTACACTTGAAACTGTGATAAAAATGAAAACTGTACTTTGAGTTATAATCTATGTAACTCAAGTTCTGATTTTTAGTCCTTAAGAAACCATTTGAGTAAAATTAAAGATTAAAAAAACAAAGGCAAGGTGGTAAGAACGTAATTCCGAAGGTAACCGACCACTTCCCAAAAGATATTTGCCGAATGGCAGAGCACGTCTTCACAGACACATTTACTTGTAAACCACACAAGAGAAGCGTAAACTGTATGTCGTCAATTTTTTTCTCAATTAAATTCTACACAGATCTTTTTTAAAAGTATCATAAGCAGTGTTCTGGTAGAAGGTGCTTTTTGAACGGCTGCACCACTCAACACTTCCAGTCACAGCATCTTGGGAAGACGCATTTTAATCTGTCCAGTCCAGACAGGTTCTGATAGCGACACTCTCCAAACCAAACCAGGTGAAAACCGAGAAGGCAGGTGAGGCGGGAGTGCTAATTCCCAAGGTCACCCTTACCCTCACTGCCGCCCCC